CTCACACTCACACTCACACTCTCACACTCACACTCACACTCACACTCACACACACTCACACACTCACACACACACACTCACACACACACACACTCTCTCTCTCTCTCTCTCTCTCGCACCACACTCTCACACAAAAACAGCGTGCACGCGCACGCGCACACACACACACAGAGACACATGCGAACACAAGGGGCTGAAGTGTGACACGCTTGCTTGAGTCTTTGTGTCGGGACACCACGAGTTCTCGCAGTGCGTCTTGATTCGGAACGAAACAAGTTGATTGCGCATGATCACGACAGGACTGGGTTTCCTGCCTCGACACTTTTTGTGGTGGTTCTTCTGCAGAAAACCCGGTGAACAGTGGAACAATGAACGGTACCAACAAAATTAAAGCCCCTCTATGCGTTTGTGGTGCAGCATCAAAAGTAACCGGGACCTTAAGCTTAGAGCATATGTCTCAGTGTCTAGCAAGGTGTCACATCGGCTAGGCTTACTAGTGGATCTGGAGCCATTGACGAGAAGATTGGTGCGAATTGCCATGAGCTTCGCACGACGGGGCGAAGCGAAGCTCTCAAACTCAGGTTTGGCATCGTGGCGACTCTCGGCACTCCGGGCGTTTGCGCTCGGCTTTCAGTTTTTTGGAAATTCCCCGGCTGAAATCTGATGCCGACACCCCTTGTTGATGGATCTCATCGTTCGGCATCCAGCGGAGGTCTACATCTCGACGTACGAAATCCTCAAGTCCTACCTTGCTCCGGATGCCGCACGGCCGCAGCGGACAGCCACAGATTCCGCTTGTGTAATGTCTCAGACATGGTGTCACAGATGTATTCATCCTCGCTGCGTTTGTGCGGTGTTCGGCAATATCCATACCGCCTGTGGCATGTTACTTTCGGCATCTTTCGGCTCATACAGCAGGACACATTTGCAAACAGTGTCTTGTGTGTGTGTGTGTGGGTGTGTGGATGTGTACGTATGCATATGTCGACGTACAATCCAGTTATCCACGTATGTCTGCATGCCTGATATGCCAGCAAGTCTGCATGCGTGTCGGTAAGTAGAAAGGACAAGCGTGCGCATTTGTATGTATGTATTCATACAGACATTTCCGCGACATGTAGCAGGCTCTTTCAGTGCCCCATAGGCTGTCGAGTCGAGTGCGAGTGCCAAGAAGCATGCTCTATAACATCGAGTAGGATTTTTCGTACCGCAGATTGTGCGAAGCGACCGTGTGACACGCAAACAGGTCCTGCTCCCTCTCACGCACATACACACACCTGCCCAGCATATCTGAACATGCATGTTATCAACACCTTTGATATTGCTATGAACGCACGTGTACAAGAACTCCCCTATAAAAATTAACGAATGGTATATATGCCACCCGTACCTATAGACATGGACATGCATGCATACCCGAGGGGGGTTCATGTCATGTGTGTGGATGAAAGTGTAAACCTGCAACTGCAGTTTGATAATGAGCATGTTGTGAATTTTGACCATCTTTACAGTTTTTTGACTATGGATGTACATCTGATTCCCTCCCTTATGGTCCGAGGGCTCGGAGCTGGCCTTTGCACGCCACCTGGTAGCCGGGATTGGAGCAGAGGCGAGGCGCCAGTCCGGAAGCTGGAGTAGCAATATTCAAAAACCTAAAATGACCTAAACAGTTGGTGAGGACAGATCAGGCCGCCGGATGCTGTGCCTCACTACTGGCTCACAGCCGGAACACTGCTTCGCACCGCATGACAAGCAGCCGTCTGTATGTGGTGCACATTTACCTGCAGACTGAACACGAAAGTAGTGTCATCATCGCACCAGGAAGCATAGCTCGATCAGAACCGTGGCAATGCTGATGCCCATATAGCTCTTACCCGAACTGAAGAAGCGAAGGCCCCTTGCAACCAGAGACGACAGTTCTGCCGGTCTCACCTCGTGCCGTCGTCTCCATGGGCGCTTGGGGAATTCCCTGCGCGCAGCAGGATCTCCGGTCCTGCAGGCGATGAGAGCTTGGCGTTCTTGCTTTCTTGAAGTCCCAAAGAGGGTGCAGCTGCTTGGAGGCGGACGCGTTCCTGGGAGTCCTTTCCATGCCGGCACCTAGTGCCAGAGAGGCAAGAGACTCTGACACTGGTTTCGCAAGTGTCGACGTTTGTTGGGTGCATCGTCGGTGCACTTACGTGACCATTTTCGGAGGCAGACGCCAAAGCAGCGGATTTATCGGATAGCCCAAGGGACGACTCCAAGGATGAGGGCTTCCAGAGTTTGTGTCGTGTGTGCCGGGCACAGAACGTGGAATACACATCTGACGCTCGGCAGCACATGAATTGAACATAATCGAACTATCAAGAACATGAGCGAAGACTTCAGCATGCCACGTGCGGAACATCTTGGGTGTCTTCGTCATATTGCACTTGTGATACCTGTCTCGGGAGCAGCCTTGGAGTGCGCGGATGTGAGCTTGCTCAGGACCTGGTCATCGTTGCACGCCCGCGGATGCCAAAGCTGCTTCTCGCGCGGCGGTCGGCCAAAGCGCGCAATCGCTCACCGGAACACCTCCATCTGGACAGACGGCAGTTACCCGACCTCAGAGCACGTTTTGTTGCCCTCGTATTCATTGGGGGGCCCTTTTCTGACTGAGAATCTCCTTAGGTTGGGCCGCTGCCCGGTCTTGGAGGAGGAGGCCCGGTTACGCTTGCTGAGCCTTGCCTTTGCTACCTTGTCATGGCTTTTCTTCGCAGAAGGTGCAGGTAGTGTGCAAGTGTTAAGTGGGCTTCGGAGTTTTGTATCAACTCAGGAATTATCAGAACAATGCCATATCGCGTCGGCACGTCTGCATTTATTTAACCTCCAGGAAAGTCTGGGACCTCTGGTGCAAGCTGAGGCATCGAACATCTCGACAACCTGCCCAATCTTACTTTCTTAGACTTATACGACAACAAGATCCAAGTCATGGAGAACTTAGTGTCTGGACTGCCAGTAGCTGGGAGAGCGAGTCTTGATACCTTAGGGGATGAGCTAAGGAGAAGTGCAAAAATCTGCGTGCACCTTTGCTCGAAGTTACAGCAGGCTGCTAACCCTGCCGCTCATTTTTCAGCTTTGCGTGGGCGTTAGCTTTTGTCTGAGGTTCTCATGCTTGGCAAGAACCAAATCCAGCGAATCGAGAACTTGAAGACTCTTGAGAAGTTGGATGTTTTGGACCTGCACAGCAACAGGATCAAGGAAATTCAGAACGTGTCGCATTTGACACATCTTCGTGCCCATGACTGCATTTATTTCTAGGAGCGGGTCTTAGGGCCAACCGCCCGAACCGGCATCACCTGAATGTATGCCTTGGCAGGCATGTCTCTGTTGGAGCATGACTTCTGAGAATCAAACATGGTAGAGTGTGGGGAGTGCCGACAAGAGAAGGCGTTCTGAATCTTGCTGGCAATTTTCTCCCTAACATTTTCAATCTGGACGGACTGGTCTCGCTCACTGAATTGCCGCGTGGCCGAATCGAGCATTATCAAGCTGTCGTGCCAGCAGACTCGTGTCGTGATCTGTTTTATGGTGTGCCATGCAGGGAAGATGTTTCGAATGTGGCCAGGAACATTAGACGCAATTCCATCTCGACGACTGCCGGCGTGGATCAGGCACCTGTCACAGAAGAAAACATGATGGGTAGCTGCTGTAGAGCTGCACTTCGCGTTGGTGGCCATCAGGTACCACAGCTGCAGAGACTCTTTGCGTCGCACAACAACATCGTCTTGCATGAGGTTCGGCCTCTTCAGACTCACCATTCCACAACATTCCGTCAATTGCAACATATAGAATATAGACCGGAAACCTCAGTAGCCACCACACGGCTTCGAAGCTCCGAACCAGTGATACGTCAATGGAGCATTCACCTCTGGGACCTGCGACCGACGCCGCGCAGCTTAAATGTGCCAGGATTTACGATTCTTATCTGCAGCCACCAACCTTCGAGAGCTTACCTTGGACGGAAATCCAATTTCTGACAAAAACAAGGCCAGTGTTTGTTTCAGCGTGTGGTTTGGACAGCCGCCATGCGTTCGAGCTTATCAAGACTGCAGGCCTATCATGTCCACATTGTGACCCTCTGCCCAAATCTGGAAGTGTTGGACTGCACCTTAGATCAGAGGAAGTCATGTTTTCGGTTCAGCATGAGCGAATTTAACACGAGTGCTCTTGAGGACAACGTGAAGGTGGAGGCTCGGAAGTGTCGCCTGACAGGATCGGTTCTTGATTAGTCTCATGGACTCATGGCTGCAATGTCTCGCCTGAGGCATTCGAGCAAAGCCCGAGTTCATGGAGGCTTTGGAAGTCCCGTCGCAGCGAAGCGATGCAGAGATCCAGGCTTCCAGCTCGAGCCCCTCGGCACGAGTGGCGAGTTTCTGCCTGCCTGGCACATCCTTGCACTTTGCAGGTGTCCCCGATCAGCCCGAGCAGTCGGGAGAGGACTCCGAGCCTACTGAGCCTCCGGTTTGCATCCGGAGCCGCTTGGAGCCAATTGGACCTTTTGTTGCCATTCCGCAGCCGCAGAGGCAGAGCATGGGCGACTAATCGGAGGAGGATTGGGAAGCAAAGGGGAGGAGAAGAAACCGCATTCAATATAGGAGAGCTGGACAAATTCGCCCGTTTCGCGATCGAAGGGAATGGAGGATCTTCAGGTGGTGAGCAGAGTAGTTGCCCTACCAGTGCGCAAACAGTCCCTTCGATTAGGGAATTGGTTTGGCAAGGCTGCTCTAGTCGGTCGTGTTGTATTGTTATGGTTAGCTTGTAGGGGACATGAGCTGGGAAATGGCAAGCAACCGCAGTTGCTGTGGCTGGCACAGGGACCCGCGAAAGGGACAGAGGACATGTGTTTGCGCAAGCCAAGCATCTCTTTGGCCAATTTCCTCATGAAAGGTGCTTCAGGCCAGTGGAACTGCGTACCGAAATCAGTGCCATGCACCAAATGGCCGGAGCTTGACCCATGACGGTTCGTTAAGGCCCAAGATGGGAAGATCTAGAAGCAAGAAGCGACGACGAAGGTGACTTAAGCACTTCCAGATGCCCCAGACATGCGTATCAAGCGATGCCGTGAGAGTACGACGAAGAGCGTGTCATCTGTTTTGGGCCAAATGCGGCCGACGTGACCCTCATTCAACGGACTGCTTTGGGCACCAAGCTGTGAGCTGTGTGTCGCGCGGACGAAGTGGTAGAGAAGTCGCTAAGACTGTTGCAAAGGCGAGTCATCCGTGGCGTGCCTGGCTCTGTTTTGGATGCACGTGGAAACCAATTCTTCCACAGCCATTCGAAAACAACATGATGCCGTCTTTATGGCCACAAGCACGAGAAGCACTACAAGTGACCACGTGTGATCGTCGTTGCAAGAAGCCCGGCAAATGGATTGCGAAACTGGGTCCCAGGGAGAGATACGACCCTAGAAAGCAACAAGACGGAACCCATGAGTGCGGTCCATCATTACTGGGCCATGTCATGTCGAAGCAGGTTTTGTTATTTCACCTTCGCCATCCGCGGCTTTGAATGTCGCTCCTGCGACAGAAGAGGACTCGTGGTGTATATTCCATGAGAATATCGATCTCTGTTCGAGGTCGTCATAGTCATTGTGTATTGAAGATGTCAGGCCGTGGATGCTCGTGGTGAGCACACAAACACATCCAACGCTGCTGATGTGCCTTTGGCGGAGTCGTCGCCACCGCCGAAGCCGAAAGGGTCTGCAAGGGGGCATCCAGGCTAAATTTAAATGCTGGCGGAGCAAAAAGGGACGACTCTGGCGTAAGAATCTTGGTCGCGTTTCCGAGGCGTGATGGCTTGCCGGCTCGTGCGCTGCACGGTCTACCCAAGCGGCCGACTACAGCCACAGAGTCCTGGACAGCAGCCCACAAAACCATGGCTGTCCCATGCCAGACTAGGCTCAGCTGTGTTCGATGAGCGTCTCGCTGAGGCCCGGCCATCGCAAGCACAACCTGGGCTGACAGACAGCCTGGCAATTTCTTCCATTCGCTCAGGCTCGAAGTGCTCGGAGTCATAGGGCCTTCATTGCCATCTCCGGTTGGCACCCATCGATTGACGTCGACGCGGGTGGTACGGGTGGTCCGACAACAAGTTTGGTAACCTGCCGCATTGCAAGCTTCATTGAAAGTAGCTGGTGCTGCATAGTTCAGCCTGCCATCGTGGAGCATGAAACGAGAAGCAGCGTGTGTTCGAACCCTGTTCATCCCTTGTGGACATCTTTCGCCAGGTATGCAGGCGGTATCAGCCGGGGAGTGGTAAGTTTGATGTAACATTGCTTTGTTATGCACAGTCGCACGCACTGAATGCAGGCACGAATCTGCAGCGCCCTTCCCTTCCAGTGTCGACTCAGCCCATGCCGATGCCGAAGGAGCAGGGTTCGGACCGGTTTGGTGGATGCCCAGATACTTCCGCTTGCCAGAGGAACAGAAGACCGGCTCCATGACCAGCGAGGAGGTGCTCCAAGCCATCCGCCTGCAGTGGGAATTGGTGCTGCAGGGCAAGGTTGCAATGACGCGGCACGGATATGTGCGAAGAGAGCATGCTGCCGAGCTCTCCATTTTTGGCCGTGGTCTGGATGCGCTGGATAAGATCGTTGCTAAGATGCAATGATATGCAGTGTTGGCAGGTCGGAGGTCAGTCTCGATACCTTGCATTCGCAGTGAACTTCAATCCCAACGGTGCCCTTTCTAGCCTGCTTCCAGTCAGGACTACCAAAGCGTTGTGACCAGCATTCACTTCCACTATATCTTGATTGAGACGCTTGCTGGCGAAATTGCTCGCCTGTTGAAGTTCAAAGTCTTGAACAGCATCACCTTCGTCCAAAACCAGTTGCTTCAATGCAATTGATGCATGGTTCTTAAGGGGCTGCTTCGCGAGCCGCTCACTGTTGCCGGCTATGTGGGTATGGTTGCACACACGTCTGCCATGAGCCATGTATAACTGTATAACGAATAAGCCCGCTTCACTCTTATTTCGTGCCGATCTACGGCATCACTGGCACTGAGTCACTGGGCTACATGAGTGTCGTGATGCAAGGATCCTAGATCCACGGGCACTGGAGCCATTTCGCCGGATGCCTCGCTTGACATCTATTACCATCAAGGACCTCAACATCCGCGTTCCGTCCTGATGAAGGCGGCAGTTGCTTTGTTGTGGAGTGTTGCCGATGCGTCCCGAGGAGAATCCCGTCTGCTCCGGTCGCGCCACCTTGCGTGTCGCAAGCACAGATCCTGCGCTTTGCTGTCACGTTCTTGCAGAAAGGAGACTGCCATACGTACACGAGGTGGGCATTATCCGCTGGCTGCCCCACCTTCGCAAGATTAATGATCAAGATGTCACGGATCTGGAGCGTGCGGACGCATGCAACCTTCAAGCAGCTTTGTGTCCTGGCGAGCAAGTAGCTTCTCAGCATACAGCAGCATGTGCTGCTTTGTGGACTTGCATGTGTGACAATGGACTCCATGGCTCAGAAAGTCAAAATCTGAACAGCTCCGCATTGGTAACTTGCCTGCTTCGTGGGCCTGTTGCCCAAGCTTGCTATACATCATCGGATGAGATCCTACCTTGTGTGAATCACTTCATGCTGGGTGTATGTCGGCTGAATGCAAAACATGATCGTAGATTCCGCTGTCTCTAAGTGAGTTATAGGTTTGTACGGTACCATTACTACATGTTATATATGCTGTGTCACACGCAAGCAAAAGTCTGCTTGCCGCTTCGTCTTTGCAGTGATCTTGGCTGGACTCGACCCTGCAATTTGAGCCCAGCATCGCAGGCTCCCGTGGAGTACTGCAAGAGTATAGATACCAAGGCATGTCCTAGCCAGGCGGGAGGCAAAAACGCACAAAGCAGTTGTAGCAATATGCAAGCAGGATGTTCGCAGTCGTTCGGAATGTGTTGAGCCGCTTCTGGCAAGAGGGAACAGGGTCGTGAGCTTTGGGACTTCGGAGCATTGCTCTCTCGTCTCGTCAAGCACAGTACACTTTGTGCTTGTGCCAATGGTTCTGCCTGTGCTGGCTCGTCTCCGCAAAGTTCGACGAAACTGTGAGGCCGGTGCTCTCCAGCCCAGACACGACAGACTCTCCCGAGGACACCACGGGATCACGGGAACCAGGTTCTCAGGTGTTTCGTCCAAGCCTGACGTAGCATCCATGGTGCTACAGAATCTCTTATACTGCATACACATGTAGAAAGCAGCTCCGTGCCAAGTTGCCTGGTTCTTATTCTTTATCTACTCGTGGGAAGGACTTGTCTGCTATGGTGGAAGGACTGATCAGCCATGTGCCTCCGATTGCATACTATGTCACTATGTGATGCTTGCTGCCTGCAGCTAATGCAGTTTGCGCTCCTGAGCTGGAAGAGTCACCAGCGAAGGCTTGTACAGTTGATGAGCGCATATCAGCCGTCCATGAGCACTTCGGAGAGATCGTGCGTGATGCCATCCGTCGCGTGGCTGAGACCGTAGCCACAGAGCGTGTTTCACTATTCAGACCATTTCAGACCCCCCCCCAAATTCGTGAGGTGAGGTGTGGTACGACCTGGCCGAGTCCTCCGGCACCGTCCCAGCAATGCCATTGCCATCAACAGGCCGCCTGGCCAACGCCTTGTGCGACTTAGAGCGTTTGACACAAGCCGTGGTCCATGCTCGAGCATGGCGAAGCACGGGACTATTTCGGCCGCTGCTCTGATGAATGCAAGGCTTCACCATCGACGAGTAGAGCGTGAGTTTGAGCGCGCAGAAACTTGCAGCCATTCTCACACAGAAGTCAGGGCAGTCCGCACCAAGAAAAGACTCTCGCTCCTGATGTTGGGGAGACCAGGAGGTAGCAGGAAGTAAACGCATGCAGCAGTGGCCCAGGCAGCTGCATGCATAGTCTTCGTCCCCGTTGATGTGATCAAAGAGCGTCTCCAGGCCGGACTTTTGCTTTCAGGTGTGCATCTGTTGCGAGAGTGGGCAGGTGCAGAAGCTCGGCCACAGCCTGGGCATTTGAGATCCTTGCAACCTGTCGTGGCGTCGTGGTTGATGCGAGCGCAAGGCGTATCCGCCAGCTCCGGCGGGGAGCCAAGGGTGTGAGGAGCTGCGATCTCGTGCCGGTGCGTCGCTTCAGGAAGCCTCGGCTCCACACCGCCGAGCTATGCTGGGACCGCCGTTTGTGCGTCGGTAGGATGATGACCAGCGTGGTGTGAGCGGTGAGAGGAGCTTGGATGCCCTCCGCGTGATCTCCCGTACGGAAGGGCTCTTTGGTCTGTACAAGGCGCAGAGAGCAAACTGTGTACTTGTGGCACTCTTGACCGGCGAATGGAAGAGGGAGCCCCGTCGAATTGGATTGATACTGCCAGGGATACTACGCCACACTCGCTTCCTTCGGCCCCTTCTCGGCCTTGTACTTTGCCTTCTATGAGCAGGCGCCCTTCTCTGCTCATGGCATGAGATCCTATCAACGTAATGGGTTTGCCTTGGCATACAGAGAGATACACGAGTTCACGAATGAGAGCTGGAAGAGGAGAAAGTCTCTTCCGGGTCGATTCCGGCAGTCGCCGGAAGATGTTCGGGGTGTGCTTTGCATTCGGTTTTGTTGACACATCTTACCGTTTTGCAGGCAAGGAAAGCCGTTGCAGCATGCGCGGGGAAACCCGACCCAGCCAGAGGCTCAGCTGTTTCTGGTGGGTTGCGGCAACACAAGAGCCACTCTATCGCCTTGCTGCCCTGTTCAGAGCTGAGAAATCGCTGCCTCCAGCTCTGACCTTGCTGGCTTCGGCCTCTGCCGGCACAGCCGCCTCTGCTGGGGCCTCAGACTCCAGATCTCAGCAGGACGATCCTGTTGCGAGTCAGTCGCAGGTTGTAACGTGCCCTCTGGACCTGGCAAAGCTCCGGCTCCAGACGCAGCTGCGACTCCCACCAGGCTTTGTGGGCTGCAGTCGGGAGACATGTCCCGGTGTAGGAGGGAGACAAGGTGAGGGAAGGTTGGTGGGGTTAGAGAGTGGGAAATCAGACGAGTGAAGGCGTGGAGATACCAGAAGGACATTTGCATGGGCTACGAGACGCTATGCTGGCGGCTCGAGCATTGCCGGCTCCGGACAGTTGATAAAGACTGCCGTGAAACATCGTGAAACACTGATTTCTGATGGATTGCCTCTGAGGCTACGCTTGTGGCGTCGAGAGCTCACTGTCGAAATTTTGAGACTTTAGCCGAAAGCTGTGATGTTGCAAAGCACAGGTGAAGGAGGCGTGCGCGCCTTGTTCCGAGGAGCAGGCCGGCTCCGGCAAGCAAGCGCCGGGAAGCAGAAGGCGAGCCGGGTCTTCCACATTATGACATTTCTGCGCATCCGGAGGTGCTCGTGCGGCTTTCCACGCCCCTAGCACCTGCATCACCTTCACTACCTTCGAGGAGCTTGCCCGTAATCAATCACAGGCACAGTAGGTGTCGAGACACAGTTGAGGCTTGGTCCCCTTAAGTTTCACATGCTCCAGAAGTCGCAGCAAGAGATACTTTAAGTTTGTGGTTGCTTACAACATCCGCAGGCGGGCAGGGTTCAAAAAGTAAGAGAGGGACCCGCCGCCATGTCCCGCGAAACTATCAGGATTGCTGCGCTTGCAGCCGCATGCTATGTGGCTTGCATTTTTCCAAGGGCTTTCGTATCACCCACAACTGAGCGTCAAGAACTCACGCAGTCTCAAGGCTTCGTGCGGAGTGACAGGCAAGTGGTGATGCAGGCAGACACACGCCCCTCACTGCAGCCGAGCTCT